TTCGCGAACGGAAGCAAAATTTTGCGAACGGTGCTGTTCGTGACCCGAATTGGTCGTGAACAGAAGCGTTTGTGACCCGAGGTACCACTGTAGTTTGCATGATATCTGACAGAAGTTAATTGTTTCCTGAAAAATTTAAAATATCCCACAGTGCCCCTGTGAGTTCACTATGGTGCCTTGGGGTGCTATGGGTCACAGTTTGGGAACTACAGCCTTAGTATCTGAAATGGCTTTCCTTTGTGTCTAAGTGTTTTATGGCTGAGATGGCAGTTTATTTTCCCTTGGAAAGTATATTTGGGGATGGGTTAATTTACTTCTGTAGTGGGGAGTATGTGGCCCTTTAAATCATAAGCCAGACTTATGTCCCCAGAGGTAGTCACCTGACTCCTGAGGGCCAGTAAAAGAAAAGGGGGTTCTGCCAGGTTTTGGGCAGGAAGAATTTTGTAATCTTTTGTGAATTGGCTAGAGTTTGGGATGAGGGGGATGACCTCAAGCAAAGTCAGAAAATGAGTACTTGGTTTTAGTTAGAATTGTGTTAAGGTTTTTTGTATTTTAATGTTTTTTTAATGTGTGTGGTGTTTAACCCTATCTTCTTTTGGTACCTTTAATAAAGTTGATCTTTGTTTGAATCTGGAATTGACTGGTTGCCTTCCAATAGAAGAAAATATATGTAGCTCAGGGTTGAACTGTGGAGTCCTTGGGGTTGTCTGAGCGTGGTTGTTTGTTGTATCTTGCAGACGTTTCGTTACCTGCCCAGGTAACATCTTCACTGCTAGAAGGGAGTGGAGTGGGGTTTGCTCTCTGTTTATATACAGTAGCTGGCACTGTCAGTGTTGGTGGGGGAGTTGTTTTTTTGTTGCTGGTTCCTAGGTTAAGCAGTTGTTTACTGCTTGATTTGTCTGAGTTGGTAGTTCTTTGATTAGGGTATTGTTTACTGTTTGATTGTTTATCTGGTGTTAATCCCTGCTTATCTAGGTGTTAATTGCTGGCAATGAGGTGTTCTGATCTTTTTGTTTCCTTTTTATTGTCTCTTTTGAATAGTGTGTATATGTGGTTTATCCCTATGTGCCTATTGATGGCTGACTTGTCTGAATACCAAGCTTCCAGGAATTTGCTTGTGTTTTTGGATTTATCTTGGTCTAAAATGCTGACAGGTTCCGAGTTGAAATTATGGTTAAGTCTGTCCATGTGTTGTGAGTTTTCATAGTGTCTTCTGACTGCTAGTTGATGTTCATGGATGCACTCTGTCTGTCCTACATAGTGGTTGTTACAATCTTTACACTGTATGTTGTAGATGACTCCTGGTTTTTCTTCT